CGGGCGATTGCCGCGGTGCACTCACTTTGGTGTGAAACTGACTCAGACCCTATAGCTGATCCGCCCAGGTCAAAAGACCTTTGAGTGGTTGCGGCCTACAGGCTTTGAGCTAACTGGCAGTGATCAGCCAAAGCGAGTTTGCAGGCTGCAGGGTATCGAGCTCCAGATTGTTGGATGTACCTGAACATTGAAACGGAATTCGCGTTGTGTATGCTGTTAGCAGAGCAGCAGTAGCGCGACCGGCAGCAGGCTAGGGCTTGTTTTCCGACTGACAGCGGCGGCATCCGGCAGAAGGGCCATCAGTCTGTCTTGGAAGAGACGCAAGTGAAAACAGGCATGGCCTCCGCGACTTACTGCTTTGTCTGCCATTGGCACCATTGGTTGCAGACGGGGCTCACTGATGCCAGGAGCGGCCGCCACTGGCCCCAGAGTCCGAGCCACGATTCCACCATCCTCCTCGGGTCCAGGCATCGCCGTCCCTGTAGCGCTTGTCTGTGTGAGACTGTGTCTCTTCACCAGAGCGCTTGTCGCGCTGTTCACGTTGCTCGCGCAGCTCGCGCTGACGATGCCATTGATAGGTGGCCGTGTCGCCCTTGTTATGCTCAATCCGAAGCTTGCGGACAATGTGTCCGTCCCGGGGCTGGTAGAAAATGGCGCGGTTTTGGCCTCCACTCTTTCTGGATGACTGGTCGTAGATGCATTTGAAGGTGGAGGCCACGATCTCGAAGTTATCGTCTGTCTCGAGCAATGCATTCATGTCCGCATGATCCCACATTTTCTGGAAGAGGGCGTGCACTATGCCATAGTAGGTCGTAGTGGACTTGAGCTCAGTGTAGCGATCGTCTTGGCCAATGGATAATGTGAATTGGCCATTGGCCCCGACCATGAGCCTCGCCTGTGTGATGTCCAGCCATGTGGCATCCTTGTCAGTGGCGACCTTCTTGATCGGGGCAAAGATCCACGGCACCTTGCCTAGCGCCCGAAAACGATTGGTCCAAAGGAAGACCTGCTCAGAGGCAGTGAGGCCGCCCACAATGGCCTGCTCCTTCATGATAGAGATGGTCGCGAAGGCGTGAACCCACTCCAGCATTTGGTCAGATTGGCAAATGTGAACAATCTGATCTCGTTTAGGCAATTGACTTGCCTCTTGCTCCGGAGAGGGGTTGACGCTGTACTCCACCAGCTTGGTCGTGGTGACCGGGCCTGGTATTTGACCTCCTCTCGTGTGGAGGGTGCATCCACAAGGGGAGTCGGTTTGGTGGTGTTTGGGGCTGGAGTCTGCAGGATGGGCTCCTGGATGGGGAGGCTGTTGGCCGGAGCCTGCGTCTGCTGGGTCGAGGCCGCGGGTGTGAGAGTGGCCGGAGTCGCAGTTTGGCCCGAGAACGCATTGAACGGTGCATCGCGGGTCTGGCTAGAGTCAGCAGGTGGTGTCTGGTGCGACGGTGTGCTCGCCGAAGGCATAGGAGAGTCCGGCGTGCCCAAAGTGTCCTCTCTCCAGCCCAGCGTGGAGTTCACGGCAAGAGGCCGGTGGCCCTGCGCGGGTGTGGTGAGGTTTGCCGGAATGGGGGGGAGACCAAGTCCAAAGCGTGCATTGGACACCGACGCAGTGGGCATCCACTGGGGTGGGCGGTCTGCCGTTGGTGCTGGTGGCGGTGGGGACTGGCTTGCCGTCGCTGCGGCTGCAGCAGAAGGGGGATCGGCACTACTACTACTATTACTATTACTACTACTACTACTACTACTACTACTACTACTACTACTACTACTACTACTACTACTACTACTACTACTACTACTACTACTACTACTACTACTACTACTACTACTACTACTACTACTACTACTACTACTACTACTACTACTACTGCTACTGCTACTGCTACTGCTACTGCTACTGCTACTGCTACTGCTACTTCTACTACTACTACTACTACTACTTCTACTACTACTACTACTACTACTGCTGCTGCTACTACTACTACTACTACTACTACTACTACTGTTAGGACACGCTCGTTGGAGGCCTGGTGTTTTTCATGGGTTTCAAAAAGAACGCAATCTTCAGGTTTGATCACCCTTACGGCGTTTTCGGCTGCCACACAAGGTTGAATGTGCAAATCATGGTGCGTTTACGCTCATGCAACGCCGCACTGTCAGGGCCGACCAAAACGCGCATGAGGCAGCTGCGGGTGTCGGAAATCACGAAATAGTTTTCGTAGGTTTTGTATGTTTCTGGTGCTGCGGGCGCTTTACGCAAAAGGAAAGCACCACGTGTCACAGTATGCTGTACAAAGCGGCAAAAACGCCAAAAATTACAAGTGATTTGGGCATGCTCGCCAAAAGCATAGATGCTTGTGAAAACTTGTTTTGCTCCACATCCTTGCGCACTATGTTGTACATGGATGCCTGTGACAATGTGTCTTGCTCCACAAGCTTGCGCAGTATGTTGTACAAGGAGCAAAGTTGCAGTAAATACCAGTGTTTTGGGCATGATCGCCAAAGGGAGTGACATGAACGTTATTATCCTCCCATCCCCGAACCAAACACAACGCTCCTGTCATAATCTTGCAACTTGGCGTGCAAACTAGCATGTAGAAGCAGACGTGACGTAAATAAGGGGCTTTGTGTGGCTGTTGCCCTTAGTTGTCCCCAGGTGCTTCGTAGTTTTCGTTGCCTTGACTAAGGAATGCTGAGGTCTGCCTTCGTTTAACCTCATCGCTGGCTCGCTGGACTGAGGTATACTGAGGTTTGTCTCCGTGCTGCAGCTAAGGATTCGGCTTTATACTGGCTTCTTCGCTGTCAATTGCCCTTTTCTTGTCGGCGCCTTCGGCGCCGTCGTTTGGCCTTGCCCGTCTTCGTGATGGTCAATGTCATCGTCTATACGTTTTTTTTGAAGTGACGTAGATACCGGTGTTTTGTGCATGCTCGCCAAAGGCAATAACATGAACGTTATCATCCTCCCCCCCACCAACCCCCCACAAATCCCGCTCCTAGCAAAATGGCTCCGAAAAAAGACGCGCGTAAAGCAGAATGCCGTAAAGACCGGTGTTTTGCGCATGCTCGCCAAGGCAACAACATGAACGTTGTCATCCCCCCCTACCCCCAAAACCCCGCCTCTACCGTGCAAAATGGCCCCGAAATGCATTAAAACACCAAGCCTCCTACGAGCGTGTGTGGCACTACTAATCATAATAGTATTCCTGCTACCCCTCCTCCTACTCCTACTCCTACCACTACCACTAGTGATACTTTCACTACCACTACCACTATTTCTACTAATGGTAATAATGCTGTTGGGTACGGCTACTACGCGGTTATCGCGACGACCACCACGACCGCGACTACCACCACCTCTCCACAACCGCAACCACAGCCAAAACCGTTGCCATTGCCACTTCCACTATCACTACTTGAAGGTTCATGGGTAGTAATTATGTGGGGTTATAAGCAGGGTAACTATACATATCACCCCTATTAGGGGACTTATGACCTCAATTATACCTACCCATGAACCTCCAAGTATGCCCTAAACCCTATACCTATACACTTAAGAATCCCTATAAAGGGACCCCTAACGGAACCCCATTAATATTCTCGGAATGCGTCCTGCTGGGAGCCATCTTGCAGAGGGCCGAGCCAGCATCTTGGCTGGTGTACTCCTGAGCGCAGAAGTCAACAAGAGCTTATTTTTGGGTACCCTAAATATTAGGTGCCGTATTATAATAGGGACCCAAAAAGGGATCCTAATTTTGACAACCACCCATGTAAGCACCTTAGGTTTAGGGATTAGGGCTTTAATGTTTAGGGTTTAGGGTTTAGGTGACCTTAGAATAGATCGCGATTACGGTAATTCAACAACCCTAAACCCCAAACCCTAAAGCCTAATACGTTCCTGAACAAGAATCCGCTTCTGAGACCTGCCCTGACGTCTTGGGTTTAGTTTATCGGCTCAGGATGTAACACACGCGACAGCTTCGTCAGCTGGGGGTCCTCACCAAAAAGAATGGCGTATACGGTTTTCGCCCAAAGAAGCATTCAAAATTTGAAGAACTGGACAGCTGACTTTGCAGATGGTCAGCGGTGCTCTCAACAGTTCAAGGTTTAGGGTTTGGGGCATCTGCAAGTTCGGTTAATGCATAGGCCTTGATAATTCGAATACGGTTTTGGGGCCCATTACACTATAAGTGTGATAAGGAACCCCCAGAGTAGTACTTAATCAGGAACTCCCAAAGTAGCATATAATAAGGAACCCCCAAAGTAGCCTGGAATAAGGAACCCCCAAAGTGTATAAGTATAATAGGAACCCCAAAGTAGTATTGGTAAATATTTAGGCCCCTATAGTAGCCCTTTCACCGAGCTGCCCCCAATGTATTCAGCAAGCACACGAAGACCACGACCGTGATCAGGATCAGGGCCTCAAGGGCCATATCCCCAAACCCTGTACCCTAAGGGTTCCTTTTAAGGGAAACGATAAGGGATCCATGCGGGTACTACAATGTAGGGGCCCTAATAATTACAATAGGATTTTGTGGTATATCATACTATGATTGTAAGGAACCCCCAAAATAGCATAGGTACCTATTTTAAGTTAGAGTATACCTTGCCCAGTTTGGGTAATAATGCCACCGTCAACCCATTAGATGATTATTCCTATACTCCCCCCTACACTTCACCGATATATCACTACTACTTCCCCATTATACGATCATTCCTATACTCCCCCCTACACTTCACCGATATATCACTACTACTTCCCTAGTAGATGATCATTCCTAGGGTCCCCCGTACACTTCACCGATATATCACTACTACTTCCCCATTATCAATACAATTCTAGGAATAAACACTACCCCATCTATTTTCTCTAAGGTGGCATTATTACTCAAAAGGGGCAAGGGGTTCCTTATCGAATTTGGGTTCAGGTTTGGGGTTAAGGCTTAGTGCAGGGAACGACAGGCTCTTCAGCAGCAACTTGCCGCTTCGTTCTGGCATTTCATCTATCACGCCTTCATGTCAAAGAGTGAGACATGTTGCTCCACGTCCAACTTCTTTGTGCCATGCGTCCGCGCGCCGTGAACAACTTGAAGAGCCCGCTTGTAAGCACTTAAGTTGATACATGCTGGTGCTACCACGATCCACTTGATGCACTGGATATTGCTCAAATCACTGAAATACTTAGTCATGGTTTCTCTGAGAGCCCCAATCTTGCAGTCGTGCGTCTCTGCCTTGGTTATCTGAAGCAGCCAAAGTGTCTGACTCGATGATCCAGTGACAAAGAACAAGTCCGCTGCAGCGAACACCTTCGACGAAGGATTGTATAGCTTGTCTGGAATGAGGCCAGTTTTGGCTACCTTGTCCAGCGTCTTGAGCTCCTCAAGGTTGCTTGGAATCTTCACTATTTGTTCTTTCGGGCCCTTGTTTCCGATGGGAGTGTAGCACAGTTGGACCTCTCCATCCGCTGTCAGCTTGTGCCTCACGTGCTTCTCAAAAAACTTGCCGACCAACGAGCCCATCAAGCCTTCAGCCACGAAGGTGGTGATGAACTCCAACCGCTTCTCTTGCTCGTGTAGCTTCAACTTCTCTGTGAGCGCGGCTACGGCAACTTCGGAGTCAACGAACTTCATCGTCATCGTCTTCCTGGTGAAGTCTGCCTCCGAATCAATGTGAAACATGTAGCTCATCCTGCTGTCGCTCGGGTTGACCATGTTGTCAGGAGTCGACACCGCTTGCTTCACAACTGTTGACAGGTGATGGACATCTCTGCAAGTTATGTATTCTGCAACTACTTGTGTTGCCTCCTGCTTCTTCACAAGCACCCGCTGCAACCAACGAACACATCCACCAACTAAGGCACAAGCTTCGTCGACCTTTGCTTTGTTGGGCTCCACTCCAAACAAAGCTGCAGCATGTGTCCAAACTTCTGTTGCCTTCCAGATAGGCATGAACCTCTTTGTGCTGTGCCTCTGTAGCTGACTCTACGCTGAATGGTAACTCGTGTGGTTGGGCGATGTGAACACAATCGTGCACCCCTGTGCGCGATACTCCACTGTTGCCTTATTCTCGCCACCAATCGGGTCTGGGAGGAGCAGCGTCTTTGACGACTCAAGCAGGTGTAATGGCTCAGACTTGCCATGGAATGTCATTTTGCCCCCAACAAGCCGCGACCACCATCTGCTCCCACGCTGAATGACGATGGGACGCTTGTTCTCCTCTGCGACATACGCTGCCACGAATGCAAGAAACACAGACTTTCCTGTGCCCGGAGTGCCAGTCACGACAAACAAACCTGTGGGCGCCTCGGCCGTTTCCTTCAACCATGTAGCGATTTCCTCCTTCATTTTGATGTAGCAGTCTCGGACGACCAACTTGTTTCCCATGTCGTTGACGCCCAAGATGAAGTTATTGAAGTCTACCACCTGATCTGCTTTTCACTCGCTGGGTGTCTTGCCGATTGCTTCCTCTAACCACAAGCAAAGAAGGTCTTGAGAATCTGTAACCTTCCCCAGTCACAAGAACAAACTACCTCCTAAACCCAGTAGCTCAACCCACCAGCCTAGGACGAAAACAAAAGAACGACTCAACCCCTATATAACCCCGACTAAGCAACCCAATCAACAAACCCTATCGGGTAACTCTACGAGGGAACCAAACCGAAGGGGGAATAAACCACGACGCTGCAACCAAAGAGCCAACCCCTAAACCCAATAAGTAAGGTAATCAACTGAGCCTACCGGGGAAGCCTACGAAGCAAGCAAAGCCACCGGTGCTGGTTGCAACAGCTCTGGATGAATACGGTTGTAGAGTGATTGCGCTATAGCTATAACCATCATTGCACCGTCCAACTTCTTCCGATAAGCAATGTCAAATTGTCAACCGAAGCTTCTCGTAGATTCACGCGCGTGTATCCAGCCAGACTTTCGCACACCTTTGTGACGATATGTTCGGAGTATTCCATGGCTTCGAGCTCTCCCTTCACCCACTCGCAATGCTTGCCAGGCTCCACATCGGAGAGTCTTCGTTGCTTCGCTGCACGCTCCATTGCGTTAATGGGCCATGTCAAGACATCACATCAGGTGACACGAAATGCAAAAGAGTGCATTTACACAGGACATATCTGCGAAAGCATTTTTTCGTGAAAGGTTGCACACGGCACAAGCCAAAGGTTTCAACCATAGCTTACTATCACATGCTATTTTGTTGAACAGAAAGTCGCTGAGGTTGAGAATGCATGATTGCGCATGCCAAATCTCACTTCAACTGATTTAGGCTCGGTTTAGGGTTTAGGGTTTAGGGTGTGCGAAGATAGCATGAAGCCACCGTTTAAGATGCATCTCACCTAGCCACTCACCTAAACTTGCAATACTTACTATTGAAGTTGAAACTCGTCCAGCGACGAACAACTTAAGTTACAAGTAGTAACACAACACACAACTGCAAGTTGCTAGTCATAGAGCAACTTACAACTCAAGTTGCGAAGCCCCCCACAACGTCAGAAACGCAGGAAAATCTACACCTTTAACAACTCAAACCGCAAATACGCCCTATCATTGCCTTCAACACAATAATATTTTTGACGCAGTGTTTTTCATCAATTCGTTCTATGGTACAAACACTTTGGCTAAAGTTGCCCACTGTTTCTTTTTCAATTGGTTTCTTCTTCCTAAACATTTTAACTTCGTCACCAATACTTAATTCAGGATTTCGTTTAGCATTCATGTTTAAATGCAGTTTAACTTTTAATTCGTTACTCGGTTTTCTGGCATCCTTTGGGGTGAAGGCAGTCGCGGAATGCTCCATTTTGTTATTATATGTTAACAATATTTCAAAAATATAATCCGGCCACTGAATATTGTTCTTACCCTTTCTCTGATCCGCCTCAACACGCCGGTATAATAAATCTTTGAACGTCCTAATGGCCCTCTCGCTAAAATTTGGATGCGCCCTAGTTCTATGGTGTTCAATGCTCTGTTCCTGTAAATACTTTGTAATGCCTCCTTGTTCATTGCTCCTTGGTGGTCTGTATAGATTATTTTTGGTTTCTTTCCCATCTTGTTTAAGAACTCAATCATCCCACTCGCTAGATCTTCTTCTTTCTTGCCTTTGATTGCCACCACGTGCATAAGCTTATCAAATACATCAATCATTAACATCCCTACTCTAAACTTTTGATCCTTCAAGTCATTAAAAAATAACAAATCCATCTGATACTCGTATGCTGAATACGGGGCGACAAAGCTATTTGAACCGACGGGCTTTCGATTTTGATCAACATTCTTCCTACAAACTCGTTAATATCAGACATTGTGATGGTTTTATCTTTCTCCCGTGCTTCTTCTAAAGTCCGGCTTTTTGAGCCAAACCTCGCGCGATCAAAATACACATCATTAACAACTTTTTGTTTCTCACTCATATAAAAACAAAAGAAAATAATGATTTAATAACCTAAATTAAATCATCATTAGTCATCCATCGGCTTTACGATCTTGAACTTGCTCATATCATATTTGGGTGTGCCGCGCTTTGCTTTAAAAGTCTTTTTTGCATTCATTATTTCAGATAGCAATTCTTCTGTCAACTCATCGGGGTTCAGTTTGATATTGTTAGCTTCTTCATACTCCTCGATCTTCTTTCTCTGACTGTGTCGTAGTGCAGATTCTCGTTTCTCTTGCATATATTTTTCATCATTTCTGCGCTTGTTGTAATACAACCTGCTGTATATGGCGAAATGCTCTTTGATTTCATCCATTGTCATATCCTCGGGGTTTTTACTCATATTATACTATACTACATATAAATTTTTATCTTTAGACATATTTCTATACATTAAAAGCATTCAATATTGAAAAACATCTTTGGAAAATTACACTTAAAGTTTTAATAATATAAAGTTTAATTATATTAGTATATGTCCAAAGCCATTAAACGTAATACGGAAGCACTACAAACATTTTATAACAACAAGCGAAACCGCATCACCCAAGCCGCCAGAACAAAAGTTCAAAATATAATTAACTTATATTCAGATCGTAAGATCGCCCAATCCACCACAGCAGACAATTTGATCAGGAAACTCACCACCGAAAAAGCAGACAAAGAAACAGCTAAAGCAGAAAACGAATATAATAAACTATACGACAAGCACAAGGACAAACAACAGCTAGGTCAGAGAATGGCACAAGCAAAAGAAGACAACAAACGAACGGGAAGAACCAACCCAAGAAAACCAAGAAAATATTCAATCAATGTCCATTTATACCAACTGAAGACAGAATCACGCCAAGGAATATCAGTATCCTTCAGAGACAGTAGGGGTAGGGCATAAGTTCCTATTTATATGCGTGATCTATCAGCCAATGTAGCCACAACACCGTGGGTTGAAAACTTGACGAGGAGACGAATATTTAGAGACGAGAAGCCCGATACAAAAACATTTCATAGGCTCAAGTTGTTATTAATGACAGATGACAGTTTTAGAGCAGATGTCGGTTATGCCGAAGGTTACATTGCTTGTATTAAAGTTAATTACGCAGAAAGGGTACATAATGCCGACGCTTTCAAGCCACAAGAGGAAGATCTAACAAACACGGAGAATGTCAGCATGTATCACAGATATATTCAGACACCACTAGATCCACAGTACGAGACCTTTAAGGAAGCCATTAAAGTGGAGCATTATGTTAAGAACGAGTGTTGGTTTAACACTTTGACCGATTATTATAAGGATACCCTGATGGGATACCACAAGAGAGAGAAGAACAAACTCACTAAAGAAGCCGTCCTAAAAATTATAAATAAGACGGAAGAAGATTTTAAAACAACAGGGGCATCAATAAATAATTGAAGATAGGAGTAGTTGGAAGATGGGGAGAGGAATAACACCCGATGAAAACGACATATTTAAGACTAGCTCACAAGATAAAAAAGGTGTTGATAGAGCTACCACCGGGTGGGGATCACGAAAGCCTACACCAGAAGAGAGATTAGAAAAAGTGGAGGAGGATGTTGAAAGGATAGACAAAGATGTAAACATTTTGAAGAACAATTTAAATATTACGGATTAAAATCTCGTGTATATTGACAGGCCATCATGGCATAAAAGCCCCCAATCAAAACAGAAGAAGGAAGTGAGCCAATGTCCCCGTGCGCCTAGCAGGTTCCACAGGTTCATAGGCAAACCATAAGAGTTTGGTAATGACATTAATTCGTGATTAGTTTCGTTAAATCTTAAGGAACCAGTGCAAATTTTCATAATATCGCATTATGAAAACGTGTATATAATAATAACAAAGCCAGAAAGAGTAGATAAGATATTAGTTGATTTTGAACCATACACTGAAACAAATAATGTTGTTACTAGGAAGTGTTATCGTTGTAAGCAAGTCAAAGACATTGACTGTTTCAAGCGTTGCTATTGTGCCGGTAAGCATTCTTATTGTTATGTGAAATACATTGCGACTTGTTCTGAATGCTTAGAGAAGTCTGTCAAACAAACCGCGATGCAGTAAATCTTAAGAGTATAATTTTTCTAAGGAAAATGACCTAAAGAAAAAACCCTACTATAACAATCGAATGATGGATTGGCAACTAGAAGGAGCAACCACACCACAAGACATTATTCAACTTGTAACTGAAAACCCACTACCACGAAGTGGAAACAAATTTTGGAGAAAAGTAGCATATAATTTATGGCGAGTGCAAATACCTGTTGAGAAAACAGTTCAGAATAAATTCGAACTATTTTGGCACAGTATTTATTTAAGAGACGAAGAAGGAATTGTTGAACTGTATGAAAACGTTAATAATTACGACAAAATCAAGGCAGTAGGAGAAAAGTTTAACGAACACAGTGGTATGGATTCGCCGTGTGTGAATATCTGTATGTTAAGAGAAGCGATCAAGACAATTACAGACGACATAGATTTGAGAAAATCAATATTCAAAA